GAAGACTATGCCACGATTTCCGATGACCGAGGATACCGTTTGCAGCTCGGTTTGATTCCCCCCAAGCTTTTGGAAACCTTGTGCAAAGAGGCCTTCCTTCGTGGGCTCGAGCGTGATCTCGGGGGAAAATGGGGGCTTGAATGCAGGGCGTGCCTGGACATTCCCAAAGCTGCTTGTGTCAGTAAGAAGTTCACGCCAGCGCAGAGGGGCTGGATTCGAGCATGTTCTTGTGATGCTATTTGGCCTGCGGACAAGGCCCTGGCATGCGGGTATCAGGTCGACCCGCTCTGCCCTCTATGCTCTGCTGCGCCCGATTCAGTGTTTCACAGGATTTGGCAGTGCACGGCGACGGAAGCTCAAGAGTTGCGGACTCAGCTGGTCCCGGCCTCAGTTGTGCTAGACGCCATCGCCGCGTGGACAGCTCAGGCGGAACCTGACCCTCACGTGCGAGCACTATATACTAGAGGAGCTTTCGCTCATCCCGCTGATGTTTTGCCGCGTCCTGTCGTGGAGGGAACGAATGCCCTTCAGTTCGTCTGGCATTGTGACGAGCTTCAAAGCCCTGAAGGTCCCAGGGTCCCAGTGAACGGTGAAATGTGGGGTCATGTCTTCATTGATGGGTCCTGCCAGCGTCACCCGATCAAGGAACTTTCAAGAGCTGCCTATGCCATTTCAATGAACGCCGAGGATGGCACTTGCCTTGGAGAGGCGAGAGGCCCTGTCTGGGCTCATCTTCCTCAGACGCCTCAGGCGGCTGAATATGCTGCCAGATGTGTCGCCGCTCAGTTCCTGGTGTTGCCGACCACTATTTACTCGGACTGTGCCAATGTCGTGTCTCATAGTACGTTGCCCTTGCCAGAGAGATACTCGCGCAAGAGGTCGTATTCAGGAATGATCATGTGTGCCAGCAACTTTGAGGGCCGTTTTTTGGAAGGCATTGTAAAGGTCAAAGCTCATTTAGATGTCCATCAGGAGGGCATCTCGGAGAGAGAACGATTTCTCAGGCGTGGAAATGCTGACGCTGATGCGGGTGCCAAACATGCCCTCCAGCTTCACCCTTCTGACCCGTCTGAATTAGCCAAGGTAGACAAGCTTGTGGAAGCGGCCAGGGGTTATTGCATCCTTGCTGCTAACTTGCTTCCACTATGGCCTAAGCTCTCTCTTGACGTTCCTTATTTCCCTCCCCCTCCTGCTGAGCATTCAGGCTCCTTCAGTAAGGTAGGTCATCGTTGGGAAGTCTGGGCTGGTGTCTGGAGGTGTGCAGTTTGCCTCCGTGGGAGTAGGGGCACGACACGCCCTTCCCCAGGTAGATGCCCCCAGGAGTCTAAGTTGCATGCCGCGCGGCAGGATGCTCTAGGACACAGCACTGTAGCCTTCGACTGTTCAGATAAGTCAGTGCTATTCATATGCCTGAAATGCAAATGCCACTCCACTGGTGGCAGGGTTAGAGGCCTAGGGGAAGTCTGTAAGAAGCCTTCCCGTGCGGGTCGTCTTGGTTGGGCTGCCTTGTGTAAGGGTATTCATCCACACTACTCTCGGTCGAGTAAAGGTGTTACAGTTGATGATACCTCTCTTGTGCGCTGCTTTAACTCGTATTTGGTTTCGAATCCTGATTTTACGGAGGATGGTGACAAGAGCTCCGCTCCCTCTGGCTCGTCTGGTAGTGCTGCCAGCGCTGGAGGGCAGGAGCCTGTCCGCTCCGCAGAGCCTGCCACTGCTTCTGTCGCAGGCGTTCCTGTCTGCAGCGTTGCGCCCAGCTCTTCCTCGAGTGATGTGGCCGCCTCGGCCGCAGCCACCAGGGAGTGCTTGAGGCGCATTGCTGCTTCTCTCCGCTGCGAGGCGGACGATATGGGAACGGGTGGGGCTGTGGAGGAGGGGTCGGGATCGGATTGACTTGCAGCGTTCGTGCCTGCCTTTTTCTTTTGGCAGGCGTGAACCCGTCTTCTCGTACGTGTGGTTGCAGGCGCAGCCACCCCCTCTAATTCAGTTTCTGTTCTCAATCTTATTCTCGGCCGTGCTTTGCCTCCTCGGCCCTCAGGCTGTTGTGGCATAGGTCGCGGCTTCGCGATCTAAGCGGCGACCGCCTGTCCGCTCAGGATGCTCTCCGCGTTGCCGATCGTTTTTCCAGCTGAGTGTCCAGCTGGTGCCTGTTTTTTCTCCTGTCATTCGCCACTAATGGCAGGTGTGTTTACTTGTGTGGTGAGTCGTATTTTTCTTGTGCACTGTCTCTGGCGTGTCTGCCAGACAGTGAGAGCCCGAGCCGAGGGTCGATCCGTGCGGGGAAGGGGCCATAGTGGGCGCTCCGAAAGGAACTCGCGAAGCCCCCTCCCCATAGCGGCTCTCGCCGAGGCGAGGTTTTCTCAGAGCTGGCAGGTCCCGCACTGCCAGTTACCTGCACTATGCGGTGGGCCCGTGGAGGTCAAAAAGGGGGTCCGCCGAGGTTTCGGGGGCGTTGCCGTCCGTTGCCGCCTCGTTGCCGCCCACCGCGATTGAGGGGTCCGTCGAGGTTTCGCAACGTTGTCGCCCGATGCAACCTCGTTGCCGCCCGTTGCCGCCTCTTGCCCTGAGTTGGTGTCCCGAGGATTCGCCACGTTGCCGCCTGTGGCCGCTCGCTTTCACCCGTATGTCTGTGTAGTTGTGTTTTTGTGTTTGTACATGTGTGTGCACGCAGATGTTTGTATACGTATGTATGTAGGCCACGCGGCTGGGACAAAGGTTCGCGTGGGTTCGAGTAAGGGCAGATGTAGAAGTAGACAGATGCATGTTCTCGTGTGTATATGAAAGCGTGTGCTTACGTAGACATACATATGTATATATATATATATATATATATATATATATCGATATACATACACAAGTTCCCCTCTCGGGAAATGAATGGGGAATGGGTCCTGCGATGTTTCGCCACGTTGCCGCCTTTTGCCGCCTCGTTGCAGCCTCGTGCGCTGGGTGGGTCTGGCGAGGTTTTGATACTGTGCCGCCCGTTGCCGCCTCGTCGCCGCCCACCGCGCTTGGGTGGTCCAAGGTTTCGCCGCGTTGCCGTCCGTTGCCTCCTCGTTGCCGCCCACCGCGCCTGGGGGTCGGTCGAAGTTTTTCCACGTTGCCGCCCGTTGCCGCCTCATTGCCGCCTCGTGCATTGCATTGGTGTCCCCAGGATTCGCCACGTTGCCGCCCGTGGCCGCCTCGTTGTCGCCTCGTGCGCTGGGTGTCCCCAGGATTCGCCACGCTGCCACCCGTTGCCGCCTCGTTGCCGTCCACCTCGCCCGGGGTGTCTCCGTGGAGGCTTCGCCACGTGACCGCGAGCCGCCGCTTCGTTGCTGCCTCCAGTTCGTACCACGCCTGCTGCACGACAGCTTACACCACATAGCGGTCCGCGTTGGCGAACACCGCTGCTAGAAAATGAGGTATCAGAGATGAGGACATCCAAAGACAGAGTCCTAGTTTGAGAAGGATCGGACCCGCCCTTCAGTGAAATGTAGCTAGGCTGCGAGATCCAATTCTCGAGAGAGAGCCACCCTCCTTCCGTGTAGCTGTCGGATATTGGACCGGAGAAAGGTTCACGTCATCTTGAAAAAACGACCCCGCCCTTCAACAGCTTAGCGAATGCAAGCTCTTCAGACAGACGATCGTGCGCGGCATGAGTCGGAGAGCCATATCTGAAAAGTAACCCGCCCTCCATCCGTGTAGGTGTTGCAAACTTCCAATGCGAATGTAAGCAGTCCTGCGGGGAGAGCCGTATGTCGAAAACTGCCCGCCCTACAGCCGCTTAGCGATTGCAAGCTTATTTGGCGAATGAGCGCAGCGCGAAGGGGAGCTAAATGTTCAAAGCCACCCGCCCCCCATCCGTGTACATGTTGCATGTTTTAGTCGGTGATTCGCAGCGCTGAGGCGAAAGCCATAGTTTGAAAACCACCCGCCCTCCTTTTTTGTTGTTGGTGTTGGAGATCTCCAGTTTCAGGTTCACTAGCGGTGAGGAACTGCCAGGCGAAACGCCCAGCTCGCCCAACCGACACGCCTGGAGGTGTGCGGTGGAGGCTGTTGTCACATTGGGAGGGTGTGGAGGGGGAGGAGAAGGGCCGATTGTGTCATGGCCTTCTGGGGGGCTCTTTGCCGATGCTGGGTTCGCTTCGAATTCCCAGCCAGGACGTAAACCAGGACATGTCTGTGATCGCCTTTAAGGGATGAAAGGAGGGGCACCTTCAAGTAGGCTATACGAGTAGCTTGTTCCATACCCCTTGTCATGAGGTTTTGCGACGCTATGGAACGGCTGCGGTGCCCGATACATCTTCATGTGGGCTCATTGGCTCTCAGGGATAATCGAGCTGTTCGAGTCCGATGTTGTCGTGTCCTGCCTTCGTCTTTCTTACACCTACATTCATTCATGCACGGTCGGACCGAGGTACAGGATCGAGGTCGGTTCGGGGAGGCACCCTGATATTTATCGTATGTGTTGGATGCTATTGTGCATCTTGGGGGAGGATACCCTCGGTGATCTTATGGTTTTGGGTGGTTTGGCCGGCGGAGGGTCACATGTTCTTGGAGGATGTTCCTCTTGACGCTGATCTCGTCGGGGCACCATAATGTGCGGGATGGTGGGGCTTGTGTTTCGCAGGAAAAGTGCCGAATTTGGCAAATAATCGATGGCAGCCTACCAACCTTCCGCGATCTAGGATTTGCCCCCGCCCCCCCCCCCCCTCCCCCCCGAGGCGGCTGCCTCCATCCGGGGCATAAAAAAATGCCACGAAAAAAGCGGTCCAGGGGACGGGATCGAGATCTGCAGGGGGACCATGTGTTGAACACCGTCACGTCGTCGGCCTATGGGTTCGCATAAGGAGTAGACACTTGTCTTCTTCCGCATGCTCCTGCTTCTGCTTTTGCTACTCCTGGTGTTCCTGATCTTGGTTCCTCTGTTCATCCTGTTGATGCTGCTGCTCTTCCCCCGCAGCCGTCTGGTACGAGTCACGGACCGGTTCTTTTTCAGAGTTCCTTACGCTGGCGCCATGCCGCACGTGTTCAACGACCAGAAAGGCAAGTTCGAACAGGTGCATTCTTTCAAGGTCCCGCAGTGCCCGTCCAAGAGCGTGCTGAAGCGTCAGCGGAACTCGGAGTACATGAAGTTCCTCCTCGCCTCCGAGCCGGTGCCGGAGTCTGGGGGACGCGGGCTCTCCACCTCCGCCGACCTTTGCCAGGCTAGCACTGGGCCCTGGATTCGGTGTACACTGCCTTGCAAGCTTGGAGGCCCGCTGCCAGTTCAGTTATCGAAGTTTTCGCTCAGTTGTGGGGCGTGCCAACAAAGTCGGCCGCGCGCCAGAGGGAGGAGGGAGGAGGGGGAAGGCTTCTTAGAAGGAGGCTTCTTCTTAGAAGGCGCGGGCCTTCTCTAAAGAGCTGGGGCCAGCGCCGTCTAAGAAGCAGCCTCCTTCTAAGAGGCCTTCCCCCGTCCCCCACCCCCCACCCCTCCCTTCTGCGCGCCGCCACAGAAGGCACAGCTGCCTCTGGCAGGCCGCAGGCGCGACCGCACGGGCAGCATTGGGCCTCCAGGCGGCCAGAGGTCGGCGTGCCCACTGGTCGCGGGCCTGGGGCCGCCCTCGGCCAGGGCCGCTGCGGGTGGGCAGCCGACCCCCCCCCCCGAGGAGAAGATGGCCGCCCGGCTGGCCGCCAAGGCGCAGCAGGAGTGAGGAGCCCGCCAGGGCCCCCTGCGGCCAGCGTGGCCAGCGCGGCCGGGCGCCCTCCGCGCGCGCGAAGGGCGCCCTCCGGGGGGGCCAGGCGCGCGCCGGCGTGCGGGCGGCGGAGGGCGCAGACGAGGCTCCAGGGATCGGACGGGGCTGGGACGAGGATAGAAGGAGAAGGGAACGCACCACCACCACCACCTGGGTACTGGAAGCAGCGGGTGGTCAGGGGTCAGGGGTGGTGGTGGTGTATATCGTTTCGGGCGCTCTCGCGGGACATCGTGCACACGCATCCCGCACGCCAGCTCATCCTGAATCCCCCCGGGTGGTGGTGGTGGTGGTGGTGGTGGTGGTGGTGGTGGTGGTGGTGGTGGTGGTGGTGGTGGTGGTGGTGGTGGTGGTGGTGGTGGTGGTGGTGGTGGTGGTGGTCGTGGTCGTGGTCGTGGTCGTGGTCGTGGTGGTCGTGGTGGTGCGCTTCCTGCTCCCCAGGATGAGTCTGGCTCCAGAGCGGTCAGAAACGCCCTCAGGGCGTTCCGGAACGCTCTGGGAGGGCCGCGGCGCCCTAGACTCAAGACACCCCCCGGAGCCGCCGGATCTCAGAGATTCTCGATGTCGGGCGCGCCGCGCTGGCCCAGGCGCGGGCGTGCGAGGCCGTGAGCGCCGCCGGTGGCCTGGGAGCGGTCGGCATGGAACGGCCTGCGCTGCCGGACAGCCGCGATCGTTCCTCCCCTCCTCTCCCTCTCCTCCTCTTGTCACTCCATCCCTCCCTCCCTCCCTGCCCCCTCCCTCGCGCAATGCCAGCTGCCAGTTGAGCGACGGCCCACGCGGTGTCAGAGGCCATCGGGGGACACGCAAGGACATGCATATCAAATCTTTGAGGTCCGCGCAGATTCCCAGGAGCGGCGTTGGGGCCCCCTGGCGGCGCCTCCGGCACCGCCCCTAGCGCGCTCCGCGCGCCAGTGATGGGGGTCCAGCGCCAATCCGAGAAGTCCGCCCGGACTTCCGAGTTTTTTTTGGTTCGTACCATTGTTCAGGAGGGGAACCACAAACCCAATTCATCGTCGACTCCCAGGAAAATATGGGAAACATAGGAAGTGGGGGGGGGGAAGACGAGAACCCAGAAAATATGGATTTGAGCCTGTTCAGTTCTGTGTCCCTGGGCCCCTGGAACTGTGTGTTCCCCCTGCGGCAGCGTTGCTTGGCGCCGGCACGGCGTGAGCCCGCCGTGGGTATGAAGCTCCAGGGAGAGCGGGGAGGGAGAGGCCCTTGTATCGGGTCGGGCCGAAATTTGCTGCATGCAGCTGGTTTCGGCCTTACCGAGGAGCCCATTCCTCGATACATAGCCGCCTCCGGCGCCGGGAGGCGCCGGGAAAATCAGCTACGTGAGCTGATTCTCAAACCCCCCCTTTGCTATCCCCCCCTTTCGCCCGACTCGAGAGATGGGCGGGGGACACTGGGGCAGGGGTGGATTAGAGTGGAGACGCGCGCCAAGAAACCGTGTGGTTTTCGCAGGGCCCCTTGGGTTTCCAGGGATGCGTTCCAGCGATGCGTTCGCCAGGTTCCCAGGGACTTCGTCTCAGCGATGCGCGCGGTAACGTCCCCCGATCTTTAACAGAAACGGTTGCGCCCAGGGTACTCTGGGTCTCTCGCCCAATCGCACCTCGCGCATTTCCGCATCACGCCCTGGAAAGACGCTTGTCGGGCCGGGGTACCCTGGGTTTCTCCGATTGGGGCCCTAGGCTGGGAAGCCCAGAACCTGGGCACGAAACTTGTTGGATTTTCAGGGCTGGGTGTCTTGCGGGGGGTTCTTGCGGCCGCTTCCCCCCTGTACTCGGTTACGGAGTCTGCTGCGTGCAGCTGGTTCTCCGCCGCCCCGCCCCTTCCTCGAGAACTGGCGCCCCTGGCGCCGGGAGGCGCCAGCGGGCTGCCAGCTGCGTGAGCTGGCCCGCCAGCCCCCTCTCTGTGATCCCCCCCCTGTCCGTCCGCCCCGAGGGGGGCCCGGGAGGGGGCAGCCTCCGCCCCACGTGCCGATCCGATCCGCGGCCTGGCGCGCAGCAGCACTGGCGGGCGGGGGCCCCGCCCTCGGCGGAGGCGGGCGGCCGTCCGAGGAGGCCCGCGGAAGTGAGAGGGGGGCGGACCTGCCGGCGGCAGCCCGCGGAGGTGACGGCGCAGTCAGCCTCGTTGAGAGGGCAGCGCAGGCGTCGATGCCAAGGTTTGCCGAGGTTTGGCCGCGTCAGCAGCCATAGCCTGACCTTGCCAGTCGGCTTGGGGACTGTAGGACTGCCCCGGCACATCCCTGTCCTCAGCCCAGGGGCGGACCGACACATTTCTCCCAACACACATCCCAGATTATCCTGCAACGGTGGAACGAAGATCGAGTCATTACAATGGTCGATGCACACGGGTACGTAGGTTGGTCCATGCAGGTCAAGGGTGCACTCAGATCATCCCGATCCCCCTCCACGTACTCTATGGATCATCATCTCGGATCCCCTCTCGTACTCATTGAGAGGAGGGTGTGATTCCTGGCGCAAATCTGCTGACCCCCAGGAAGGGAGAGCAGGTGATTTGTGATGATGTCCTAGCTTGCTTGCTGGGGTGCGCCAGGAAGGTGTGGAAGGAGGAGGAGGAGGAGGAGGACAAGTGAGGATGAGGATAGGGGCGCCTTTTATTAATGCTATTGCTCCTCCCCTTCGTCTTCATTTCTCATCATGCTTCTTCTGCCCCTCCGCCAGCTCCGTCTGCACCCACTCCTTCTGCTTCTCCGCCGTTCCAGTGGCAACGGGGACTCACGGGGGCGGGAGTCCACCTTTGGGAGTGGCTGTGGACAGTTTCAGTCGTATGTCGAGTGTCCTCCGCCCCTCTGTGACACACAGTGTGTGTCGGAGAGTGGGGGAGAGACCGAAGAGAAACGGAGCCTTTGATTGGGAATCGATTGAGGAGGCCTTGTGGCCGATGCCGCCGATCCTGAAGATGACGACGCTGACCACGACGAGGTAGACGGAGGAGGAGGAGGAGGAGGAGGAGGAGGAGGAGGAGGAGAAGGAGAAGGAGCCGCATGAAGTGGAGGTGGAGGAAGACGCGGAGGATGCGGAGGAGATGAAGAAAGAGGAGGAGGAGTAGGAAAAGGGGGGGTGACGTGGACGCGGAGGAGCATGGAGACCGAAGAGAAACGCAGTCCCTCACCGGGAAGATTTTGGTTTCGGCTTGTACCGTGCGCGTGCGGGGCGAGGCAAAGTGCGCGCGAGTTTTCCTGCGCTGGCCAGGCCCAGGCAACGCCGTCATGAAGCGCGCTTCCCCGGCCGCCGTGGCGTGCCCCGTCCCGGGCTGCCCCGTGGTCCTCCTGCGGTTGTCCGCGGTCGTTCCCGTGGTTGCCTTGTGGCTGTCCCGTGGTTGTCTGAGAGGTCTCCCGAGGCTTTCCCGTTGTTGTCCCGTTGCTGTCCCGTGGTTGTCCGTAGCCTTGTCCCGTAGTTGCCTTGTTGTCGTCCCGTCTGGAACTATATAGTCAGGTAGCGACGCCGATCGACAAAGAGTTTGATCGATAGGTAGATCGATTGTGACGTCGATGGGACGGCAATGCGACCCATAGTTCGTGAGCCCCGAAGAGAGATTGATCCCGAGATCGGTAGGTAGGTTGTGAGACCGGTAGATCATTAGATCGATTGGTACATGTTAAGTGAGATCGATAGACCGATCGCGGAACCGGTAAATTGTTAGATCGGTGTGCCTTGGTCGTCTTGTGGTTGTTCCGTGGTTGTCCCGCAGCTATATCGTGGTTGGCCCGTGGTTGTTCCGCGGTTATCCTTATGTTTTATTGTGATTGTCCGTGGTTGTCCTGTGTCTTTTCCATGGCTGTCCTATGGTCTGATTGTTCCGTCGTTGTCCCATGGTTGTCCCGTGGTTGTCTCGAGGTTGTAGTCGATCGATAGATAGATAGATAGGGAGACCAGTAGGTGGAAGTGACGTAGATCGAGGGATTGGCAGCCAGATCGGTAGGTAGTGAATCCCACACAAAGTCAGACCGATAGATCGTTTTGAGATCTGTATATAGGTTGCAAAACCGATGGATTGTGAGATCGACCGATACATTGATCCGCGTCCTGTGGTTGTCCCCTGGATGTCACGTGGTTGTCTTGTGGTTGTCCCGCGGTTGTCCCGTGGTTGGCCAGTGGTTGGCCCGCGGATGTCCCGTGGTTGTCCCGTGTTTCGCCCGTGACTATCCCGTGATGATCTCATGGTTGTCCCGTCGTTGTTCTGTGGTCGTCCGTGGTTTTCCCATGGTTGACCCTTCTGTGTCTTGTGGGTGTCCTTTGGGTGTCCGTGTTTGTCCAGTGGTTGGCCCGCGGTTGCCGTGGGGGTGTCCCGCGGCTGTCCCTTGGTTGGCTCGTGGGCGTCCCCGGATGTCCCTTGGTTTTCTCGTGGTTCTCCAGTGCTCGTTCCGTGGTGGTCCCGTGGTTGTTCTGTGATTGTCATGTGGTTGTCCGTGGTTGCCCCGTGGCTGTCCCGTGGTTGGGCTGTCGGAGGCCTTGGGGGGTTGCGTGTCTGCCCCGTGGTTCGCCCGCAATTGTCTGGGGTTGTCTGGCGGCTGTGCCATGATTATCCCGTGGTAGTCCTGTCTATAGATAGTGGGGGCGATGGATCGGATCCGGGTCATGTATTTTCATATGTGCACACACGCATCGATTTTCCCGTTTTTGGGGAACCAATGGGTCGTCGTATTGACAGGTCGTGGGGTCACGCACGTCTATGCATCTATGTCAGCTAGCGTGGACCACACGTGGTGAGTTAGTGCACGGTGGAGGTGGGGGTTATGCGGTGCAAGCTCTGTGGTGAAAGCTATGCAGTTCTAGGTGGTGTGGGTTATGGAGGTGGGGTGTATGCGGTGTAAGCTAGGATGTAGTATGAGTTAGTCGTGTAAGCTATGCGGTGCGAGCTGGATGAAACATGTGGGGTGTAAACTATGTGCTATAAAATACGCAGTGCAAGCTATGCTGTGTAAGCTATGTGGTCTGAGCTAGGTGGTGCAAGCTATGTGGTGAAAGCTACGTCGTGTGAGCTCAGCGCGCGGGGCGCCCACGAGGCGCCCACGAGGCGGCACGGCTGGCAGCGTGGCGCAACTTCGGGAACCCCACCCAGAGCACGGGGCGCCGACGTTGCGCTCACGAGGCGGCACGGGCGGCAGCATAGCGCAGTCTCGGGGCGCCACGGGTGGCAGCCGACTCAGCGCACGGGGCGCCCACGAGGCGCCCACGAGGCCGAACGGGTGGCAAGGTGGCGCAATCTCGGGAACCCACCCAGCGCATTAGACACCCACGAGGCGGCCCGGGCGGCAACGTGGCGAACACCAAGCAAGCCCATCCAATTATGCAAGAGGCGTACGCCATCCCGCCGACACCGAGACGAGAGAGCTCGCGACGATCACAGAAACCATCCTGAGCTTTCGGGCATAAGTGCGTGGGCCGATCGTGCGGCCTTGTTGGAGCTGCCTGGGGTCTCTTGGCACCCTCGAAGCGGCGTGGAGGAGGAGGAGGAGGAGGAGGAGGAGGAGGAGAAAGGCGCACGCACCAGAGGTCCACCAGGAGAGGGAGTATCTCCACTTATGAGGGCTTTCGGAGCCTCTTGGGGCGAGGAGGAAGGCGCACGCACTAGAGGTCCACCAGGAGAGTACCATTTTGGAAACGTCGGGCGGCTTCTGTTGGGTCTGTTCGGGGCCCCTTTGGGCATTTTGGGGGGATTCTTGGGCACTTGCTGACGGTCTCGGGGGGAGGGCTCGACATGCCATTTCGAGTTACCTCTCTCAGGGCCCTGTTTGGGTCGTCTTGGGTCGTCTTGGGCGCCTCATGGGCCGTTTCGGGGCCCTCTTGAACAGTCTTGACGCCGTCTGAGGGACGTTGTTGGCCTCTTTGGAGCGATCTTGCGGGTTGACCCGTCTTGGACGTTGTTCAGCGCAAAAAGGCGAATCTGCTAAACATGCTCGTGTAAGCTCAGAGCACGGGCAACAACGAGGCGGCACGGCGCAACCTCGGGAAACCCACCCAGCGCACGGGGCGCCCACGAGGCGGCATGGGCGGCACTGTGGCGCATTTTCGGACATCTACCCAGCGCATTAGGCGCCCACGAGGCGCCCACGAGGCAACGCGGGCGTCAACGTGGCGCAATCTCGGGAAACCAACTCAGCGCACGGGGCGCCCACAAGGCGCCCACGAGGCGGCAGGGGTGGCAAGGTGACGCAACCTCGGGACACCCACCCAGCGCATTAGGCGCCCACGAGGCGCCCACGAGGCGTCCACGATTCGGCACGGTCGGCAACGTGGCGCATCTTCGGGACACCCACCCAGCGCGCGGGGCGCCCACCTAGCATCCACGAGGCGTCACGGGCGGCAACGTGTCGAAATTCTGGCACCCCCATCCAATGTTGTAACAAACCGAAGTGCGAGTAACACTCCGAAGTGCAAACACCATTTGGGGAGCAGATCTCGAGGTCGACAGATCGCGAATCCGCTCACACGTCAACCGCAAACCGAAATTAATGCCCAACCCCATCGTAAGCTGCTTTATCACCCAAAGTGCAGCCCTACAGGTACGAATCCTAATCCAGCTGCCTCCGGCAATTCCGCCACCGTGCCAGCGCAGCATTTTGGATGGCAACTACTCGAGGAGGCAGTGGGGCCTCCTGAGGGCCTCTTGGGGCAGAAGGCTCGAATTCTTGGTTCGCGCTCCCACTCTTGGGCCCTTCTTGAGGCAGTCTTGGGGCCCTCTTGGACAGTCTCGGGCGCCCCGTAGGCTGTCTTGGAGTTCTCTCGGGCCGTCTTGGGGCTCTCTTGGTGGCATCTTGAGTCGTCTGGGGGTAGTTTGGGGGTCCGCTTGGGCTGTCGTGGAGCATCGGAAGCTCGAAAAGGCGAGAACCTGAGATTTTTTGGGCGCCTCTCGGGCCGACTTGAAGCCATCTTGGGGGCCTCTTTGGCCGTCTTGGGGCAGTCCTGGTGGCCTCTTGAGCTTTTGGAGCCGTCTTGGCCGTCTTGGAAGTCTCCTGAGCCGTCATGGAGGCTTATTGGCCCATGTTGGCGGCCTTGGTTGGCTGCCTTGGCCGTTTGAGAAGCGATCTTGGGTACCTTCGACGCTCTGGAGAGTGCGAGGGACGTGCCCGGGCGCCGATGGGGCCTCGGACAGAGGGGGGCGCTGCGCGCCTGCGTGCGACCCAGGAAGTGTGTGGGGGGGGCCCTTAATATTGCGCAATGTTTGCCGT